AGGTCATAGTTCCTATAGTTTGTTACTGTAAATTGGATAACACATCAGTGAGGCCAGAGGGAAGAATGGAAAATAGAGTATCTATTAGAGAGATACTGGATATGGCAGAATCTTTTCATGACATTCAAAGCAAGTAGAGCATGGCTAGTGCAAAAACCTGAAGTGTGGGCCCAAAAGACCTTTGCTGATTTTGAGCTGTGTAACTTTGGGCAAATTACTGTCTCTGGGACACTTTCCTTACTGGTAAACAATTTGGCAGGATTAGAAAGTGATGTATGAGGAGAGATTGGTTCTAGGCAATAGAAAGCATTTAATGAATTATCTTATCATGTTTCCATTATTATCAATATCACCAGTAAGCTATATCTGACATAGCAAGAAAATGGCTGTTTAAGTTGACAAAATAGACCTTATTTTGTTTTATTTACAAATTTGCCAGCTTTTTGTAATTTAAGAAATCAATCTGTATGCGGATATAGGCTGGTACCAACAGATTACCTGTAACCAGGGTAACCTGACGAAGTCTTTCCTGTTGGGTGTCTCCACCGGCAGTACCTGCCAGGGCTTCATCACTTCGCTGCTGATTTTGGTCTCCATGTCAACACTCCATTAGCGGCCTTTTTCACTTTCAGCAGCTGAGCAAGTGTTCAGTTTTCCAAAACATCCCGAGGTAAACATTTCAACATTTTGAAAGGAATTATTACTGATGTCTAAAATGAAAGTCATTTACAGATTCATTTTTTCTTGTTGATAGACTCAATTGTACCTTTCATCTATGATCTAAGATAGTTAAACACCCAACCCTGAATGCTACTTTCTGTTTTACCGTGGAAGGAGACTGGTCTTGTGCTGAAATCAGATAACTGAAATCAGCCCCACTAGCACCTTGAGAGTGCCGGGGGTTCCCATGGACCATCAGGGCTGAGATACACTGCTCATGTGCTAACCAAAGATATAGTTTTCAGATCTGACTTGCAGTCTGATCTTCATTTTAAAATGCACCTCAGCCTTGCCAGGCGCGGTGGCTCACACCTGTAATCCCAGCACTTTGAGGGGCTGAGGTGGGCAGATCACCTGAGGTCGGGAGTTCTAGACCAGCCTGACCAACATGGAGAAACCCCGTCTCTACTAAAAATACAAAATTAGCC